CCGACCACTGTATGGCCACCCATACACACACACACACCCCTTAACAATACACTACAGCAATCGACCATCGAATGTCCACTCACATGCTCACACACTATCCTTACCGACACCACAGAGCACACACTCCTTCAAAATTCGATGATACCCCTACAATGTTTTACCTATTTCACCCTTACCTCCCGTCATCACTCACATTCCCTCCAATCACTCCCCCCCCCCCCCCCCAAAACCCGACTCAAACTCTCCTACTCCTGAAGTACCTGCAACATTACTTATTTTCTCTCCCCTTCCTCTCCGTAGCGATCCGAAATGTCAGAAATCAAGACGAATTGCCATAACTAGGTTTGAAATTCAAAATTTCCTTACCTCTTGCTTCCATATTTCTCAATCTCAATAAAATCCTCTTCAATCCTCCTTCTCCTAAGGTTTTCAGTCACTCGTTCGCCCTAATCTCCTCCCTCTTCTTCTCAGTCTCCTGCTCTTTTCCCTTCCCTTCCTCTTTTTTTTTTTTTTATTTTCCCTCTTACTTTTACTCCTTTTTTTCTTTTTTTTCTTTTTCTGCATTTTTTTTGTCCTTTTTTTCAGCCCCGACTTGTCCCTTTAATACCCCGATATATTACAGATATTATATACATGCGATTGATGTTATGTTTTCTTTCCTATTTTAAATTTTAAAAGTCTTTTGATAATTAAAAAAGAAAAGATTGAATGAGGACTCTAATAGAGTTGGTGGTATTAATATTATCAATATTATCACTTGGTTTAGGGTTTTTAAATAATTTAATTATATTAAAACCAATAAATATATACATAGTACGTACTATTTAAAATGTTAGTCAACTCAATTGATCATATCATGGAATAAAAAAATGTTATCCCCACCACCATTCTCATAAATATAAAGAGTACCAAACAAGAACTATTCATTTGAAAACAATTGGTCATGTAATGAAGTAGCAAAAATGTTTCAAGTAATAAAAATATTAAATGATAGTGAAAGGAATCTTTAGCTTTTTATTTTGTTTTTTTTTTTTTTTGTTTTCTCTTGAAATTGTCATTTAATTGATTGTAAATAACAATAAGATTAGTAACTTCACAAAAAACAAAAAACAAAAAAAATATATATATATATATATACAAATTAAATTGATATTTGAATGGATAAAATTTGTGGTTAACTATGATTTTGAGCTTTTAACTTTTTAGTTTCTTTCTTTTTACAATTAGATTATCATAAAATATTTTAATTAACTATCATAATTATCAAAATTTCACTATGATAAAAATGAGTAATTTTATTTTGAATTTAACTTTAATGAAAATTGTTATACATTTGTTTGAGTCAAAGCTATGTGCTTATTTTAATAATATATAAAAATATTGATTTGGTTAATATATTATTAATTTTTGTTGAAACTGAGTCCCTATTCATATATTTTTTGTTAAATTGATGTTAATATTTTTTAAAAAGATTTAATTTAATTTCTCATTTTAACTTACTATTAATATTGTTAAGTTTTTTTTTAAAAAAAATTATTTATTAAATTTGACAATATGTATAAGTTACGAAAAATTTAATTTTGAAAAAAAAAAAAAGAAAAAAATCAAAAAGTATCTGCCCTTTTTACACATCTCTCTCTTGTATGATTTTGCTGCCTTGGTCATGGGTTATCCAAATTAATTTAATTTTTGTTTAGATTAAGAATGATTGAAATCTGAATAAATAATATGAAATAAAATATAAAATAAGTTATATATGACTTGCATTCAGCACAAAGAGTGGGGAGGGAAGGCTGTATATACTTTTTTTTCCAAGTATATATATATATATATATATATAGAGAGAGAGAGAGAGAGAGAGAGGAGGAAGAAAGGAGAAGCACACATAGAGCAGGAACCTATTTTAATTATTTACTCTTTATATTTACATGTGTGTGTGTGTGTGTATATGCGATAGAGAAGGGGAAAATGAGAAGCAGATAGAGACGAGGAAGAAACAAGAAATTAGAGAGAAGCCTGAAATGGAAGATATTTTTGGGTTTTTTTAATTTAGAATAATTTATATTAAATTTTACGTAAATTAATTAAAATGTACACTTAAATTTAATAATATTAATAATGAATAAATTAAAATTTAAAAAAAAATATATAAAAACTAATTTAATGGAAAATTAAGGTATGAATTGATTTCAATAAAATTAATAATATAGAGATTAAATTATTATTTTTAATAAATAATATCTAAATCAAAATTATAAGAATTACTAAAATTAAAAATTTGTTAGTTAATTTAATTCAAACAATATAAATATGAAAATTTGGACTTTTAAAGCAATAAATACAAATATTTTGTAGACGTGGAATATTTGTAATATTATTTTGATTAAATATATATATATATTAATTGTAATAAAAATATAAAAGAAAAGTATCAACAATATAGCCTAAAAATTGATTGGTGTAAGTTAGTATTTTGAGACGTGACACCAATTTTTTTTTCTTGAGAAAATGAGTTGTGACATTTATAGCTAAAGCAAAAAGGAGGAGGACTACAAGGCGTCCATTGTTGACAGGATGAAGATAATAGACCGTATACGTATCTGACCCGACTTCCTCATCCTCCTCCCGAGGTGCTCGCCAATACGAGATGGCCTTCCTATCTCCTCGCCATCCCTAACCTTAAACCTCTTTCTCTCTCTCTCTCTCTCTCTCTGACTGACGATCGAATCAAATGTTCAAACTATGGAAATGGTATCAGAGATGCCTATCAGCGCACCCAGTGAAGACGCAGGTTATAAGCTCTGGCTTCCTTTGGGGCGTTGGCGACATTGCAGCTCAATACATTACTCACTCCACTGCCAAACCGCATCTTCAATACCTTGTAAGTTCTCCTTTTCAACACAACTGCTCTCTTATCTGCTTCCCCTTTTTCATTCGTCTTCTTTCCGCCTTCGACACTATTTAATCTGCAGCTCCTTCTGATTCTCTTTCTCTCTCTCTCTCACTCAATTGAAATCCCCCAAATATTAATCTATGGATTTCTTCTGATGGTAAGATCTTTAAACGCATTATCTGGAAACCGTATTTATTTGTAATTGGAAAATTTCCTTTGCTTCTCCTTGTAATTTTGCTTGCTTTGTCTTTATGGCTGCTTGGACCATTTCTACCTTTGTAAGTTTTAACCTTTTTGTTCTTCCCTTTTCAAGAGCTTAAAGAATTTCCCAATCGCATGAGATCTGCTATTATTTTCTTATTCAAAGGTACTGTGAGTTTTGGGTCCATCTTGGTATCTAGTTGGAATCGAATGGTTTCCTTTATGGTTTACATAAGCATCATATGCTACGAAATGGACTATGCAGTTTGGGAATATGGACTAAAGAATTAGGGCAGGGCTGTGTACTGGGGACATCCCTACTGTGATGGTTTAGGAATAACTTTAATGGCTTATGAAATGGTTCCAACGGGTGATGATAATTGCATGACGATTGTATGGAACTAGACTGCTAATTGCATCATTGTTACCGTGGTTGTATATCAACGCTTTGATGGTGGCTATGAACTTGAAGTGCGCGTTGTTGGTTTCTTCTTGAGGACTTAAACTTTATTATTTGTCAAGTGCAAGAATAAATTTTCAGTGATTTAAGTCAAAATGATATTAGTGAAAAATCCGGGTAACGAGGATGTAATTCCTTACTTGCGTATTCCTCCAGATAGAAGGGCATTCATTAATTCGGGGGCTCCATGAGATGAACTGATCTGATGGTGCAAATATGGCTAATTATTATTATCTTGATAGGCGAATTTGTCTTTCAGTTATGCAGGATTAGCTATCTCCATAACTCCATTATCTCCTTCATTTAACAAAGAAGTCAGCTCATCTATTTTTGATATAAGAAGTCAGGTCATCTACTAAATTAAAAGTTTTAGGCAGAGACCAAAAAGATCACTTAATTTAGTATGTCAGAGAGGTGTTTTAGAATATTCATGATCTGATAATTTTTGCTTCGCTACTGGATTTACTTTTATAAAGGAGTTATTGTTAGTCAATCTGTCGTATGTTTTTTTTTTTCAAATTCTTCATTGACTGTATTCAAGTTCTTCATTGACTGTAAAAATTAGCTTCCAAGTCTTGTGGTAAGAAGACAATTGTTAACTACACACAGCAATTTCCTGCAGTTGGAGCTTATTAAATGTCTCTTTCTTATATTTTTGGCACCTATGGTTTAGTGTAATTTCATATGATCATGAAAAGCAACGGTGATCTCTGTTTTATGTAGCAGGATGATGATGCAAGATTCAAAATAAACTGGAAACGTGTAGCCATAACAAGTACCTTTGGTTTTTCCTTTGTTGGACCTGTTGGCCACTTCTGGTTTGTTTTTCCTATCTTCAATTCTTTTCCCTTTGAATATTGTAGTCTGTTCTTCGGTATCTAAACCATCTTAACTATAATATTTGTTCTCTGTTTTACGATTACCTTCATAAACTATATCCAGTGGCTGTCATTGTTATCAGAAATTTTAAGGTAGATTTTTACTTTTTGAAAAATAATTTCATTAACTTCCTTTAATGAAACGTCCATTTAATGTTGTTGATATTTTTAAGGACATAAAGATCATGAACTGATTGACGTCATTACTATTGTCACTCTAGCCGCAATAGCCATACCACATGAGATAACCGCTCAAGGCCCTAGATTGCTGGGCTAATTTCTTTTAGCAGCTTGAACCAATTTTTGCAACAACACTTGCAACATAGCATGATTCTTTCATGTTTTTTAGGATCAGTAAAGCCAGGAGGAAAGTTTTTGATGTACATGCATCAGTCTGTGATAAAGGAAAGAAAGTAACATATCATATCGGAAGCTGGAATGGAAAGAATATATTCTTCAATTGTTTATGCTGGCGTTGAAAATGTTGATGCTTAATCCTTTCACTACGAGTCTGAAAATATGCAGTTCGTGATTTGAGCTGATGCCTTCTTGACAACCACGTTACTGCAAGGATGCAGTGCCCTTATTACTGAGGAACTGAAGGGATTTTATTTCTCTTGACTTTTTAAGCAAATATTAGCAGTTCACATACTCTCAATAAAGTTATACCTTTGATAGATAGTGTTATGTTCTGATCACGAGATTTTTCTTCGTGCCACTTGAAGATTCATTATATGGTGGATGTCAAATGAATACGTCACAAAAGCAAAGGACTAAACATGACACCTGCTTTTTCCTTTTAAAAACACTCTTTTTCTTTTTTCGAGTGCATAAAGATACAGTACAAAGCAAGTAGTCTGAATGGCAAAATTTTTGCAGTTCAGCACATGTAATGTATGAATGATGAGAAATTCAGAATAAGCTGCATGTCTTTGATTAATGCATTTAACTTTGTACGCCAACTAAGATAAAGAAGATTTAATCAATCTCAAGTTATTAACATATCTTCCTTGCAGGTATGAAGGCTTGGACAAATTTATTAGACTGAAACTTAAGCTGCAACCAAAGTCACCGTCATTTGTGGCTGCTAAAGTGGCTATGGATGGATTCATCTTTGGGCCCTTTGATTTGTTTGTATTTTTCACTTACATGGGATTTTCAGCTGGCAAGAGTGTTGCTCAAGTCAAGGAAGATGTGAAGAGGGATTTCCTTCCAGCCTTCATTTTGGAAGGTGGTATATGGCCAATTGTTCAGATAGCAAATTTCCGGTATATCCCAGTGAGATACCAACTCCTTTATGTTAATGTCTTCTGCTTGTTGGACAGTGCATTTTTGTCATGGATTGAACAACAGAAAGATGCTCATTGGAAGAAATGGTTCACATCTTCTCAATTTCTCAAAGAAAGGGGAGATCAGGGGGAATTATGATGCAATTTTCACCCTTTTGCATTTTTTTTTTCGTGAGGCAAGTTTGTCACACAAATGTATACTGATTGCAAGAATCAACAACCTGACCCCAAAAACGCCAACTGGGGTTTTAGAAGTTGGGATTTGGGGAATGATTTAATTGTTTTTTTTTTTTTTTTTTGTTTCAGCATTTAGTGTTAATCCGATAATTGCAATCAAATGAAATACATAAAACCCCAGGGGCAGATTTGGCAAGCCCTTTATCTACCTTTTTGTTCTTTTTAGTTTCTTCAGTTCCTTCATTTTTTTTTAAACCATGATATATTAAGGTCTAAAGATGTTGCCGAAGAGGAAGAGCAGTAACCAACCAAGAAAAGGAGAATGGTAACCAGGGGGATGGAATCTTTAAAGTTATAGATAAGTTAAAATAATAAAATGGATTAGAAAATTATTTGTTCCAAAAATAGGCTAAACCGTTTAACGAGATCATATAGAAGGATTCAGTTTGTAGTTTTTTGTTACTACGCCAGCATCAACATACGAAGTAAATTCAAGCTGCTCCTGCAGTCAGCTAAATTTTCTCTTGATCAAACAGATCTCGCATTTTGTTTTCTTCAGGTTTGCAGAGAAGAGTAGCTCAAATTACCATTTATGTCATAAATCTTGCAATTAGAAGGAAATTTAATAAAGAGGCAACTTTTTCAATACATATTATAGCACCACCGGTTAAGAAATCAGAAATGAGAGAGAATCTAGTAAGAATAAACAATATGCTTCTGTTCGAGATTAAATTTACCCTCTGGACCAATCTTCACAAATCTTTTCAAAGAAGTCTTAATACTAATCTTGTACTCTTTCCAGGTCTGAAATGGATCCAGAACTAGATAAAAGAACTGTGACCTCTTCCAAGTGGTACTCTTGGCCTGAATACAGCAGATGCCACCAAGCAAGGGCAAAGCCTGAAGCCAACGCTCTGAAGGAACAAAAAAAGGAACCAAATGAAAAAAGATGGCCATCGAGGAAGTACGTAGCATATAGTTAAGCAAACAAGAAAATATATATAACATGTCATCTAGAAGTCTACCCACGAAATTGGGTGTAAAGATATTTCCAAATTACAAAATAATGGGAAAATCTATTAACTAATATTTCCAGAATTAGTAGAGCTAGATTAGAACCATCAGCAAGAAATCAATTTGCAGAAGAAATCAGAAGAGAACACCAGAAAGTAGGAAGTGGCGTACAGGAATACTCAATAATCTGCCATTACGACTAAATAGAACAGGCAAGCTTCTTCTTGCAGCTACAGGGATGGTCTTCAAAAGTTTGAGAGCTCTTTGCGCTGATAACCTAACAAAATTTTGATGCAAGTTTGTTTCATCCACTTCTCCAAGCTTACTGTTTGATCCAACTCTTTCTTCTTGAATCTTCTTTGAAGTCAGAGGCTTTGACAACTCAGCAAGGTAGAGCCAATCAGATTCAAGCACATGGCGCACCTCAACCTCCATTTCATCACCTAAACAACACATACAACTGTCACACTGACTTTCTTCTCTCAAATCCACTTCACTATAAGCTTCCCCTGGTAATATATTGCTAGCAAATTCTTTACTCACTTTCCAAGTGACAAGAAATCTGTCCATAAAACAACAGATTAGCCCAGTCTGGAGTAATTTACTAGGGGGTGCAGAGACACGTTCTCTTTCATGTTTTGACTCGTCATCATATATAACTTCAGCTTTGCACTTAAACTGTTCGTTTTCTTCCCTCTGCAATAAAACAATGTTCCTATATGTTGACTCACTCAGAATATTGAGTCTTTTGGCTTCATCTAGAACCGATTCGGAGGTTAGGTGTAAAAACTGAACCTCTGATGGGTCAGGAACCAAAGGATCTGAAAATGACTTTCCATCCGCTATAATCTGCTCTAACTCATTTGGTATATGATGCTTCTGTTCTTCACTGGACTGCATGTAAAGGCAATTGGTGTTTGAAGGCAAGGGACTACCAACAGAACAGCAAACCAACATTTTGGTACCTTTAGATCCAGGAGCCGGGCAAAGGTAACAACCAGCTGCTGTAAGAGAGGTCTACAAAATTGTTGAAAACAATCATATTAAAAAAAATATATTACTTGAACATTTTATTTACTGCTGTAGAAACAGGTCCTCAAATATAAAGATAGCATTGTCGAATCAGATATGTACAGGTAACATCCCTCCAAAAAGTCATATCACCTAACAGGAAAACTGGTTGCCGGAAGAAAATAAAGGGCAACATGCCACTTCAAAAAGAAAACAAATGAACAGAAAAAATACATTGCTAGTGCAGCTCTTACCAAGTAATGAGCTAAGATAGGGAAGATATAGACACATTGGTTCCAGTCCTAAGCCTCCACTATCATGAAGAGATCATGCAACTAAACCCCAATTTTTTCATGAAGTAGGCAACTGGTTGGCCTCATATTGAATTAAAAAATGCTATAGTCCTCAACAACGTTAAACATTATTCAGTCCCACTAAGGAAGTCAGAAAAATGTTGCAAATCATGAAATGTATGTATAGCAGCTTGTCGGAGATGCAACTAATGAAGAGAGAACATTTTGTCTCTATATGAAAAGGAAGTATATATTTGCTAAATTACAGAGGAAACCAAAGCAACATCTGCAAGAGAAATGCAATATCAAAGTACTTAAAGTAGAAGTACCTTGCATGGCATGGAACGAATAAAATCCAGTAGCAGTTTTGAAGTACTTCCTCTGATTGGCCTTTGCCTTTGTGAAATAAACTAGTGAGTTCAAGACAAAAAATCAACAACGAAGTCCAATTTTTTACAATTAAAAACAACTAATGCAACGGAGTCATTGTACCTGCAAAACCAATGCAATAAACTTTGACAAGTATATATCCTGTACTTCTGATGGATTAAGGCTCTCCAAGTCAATGACAGCATATCCCTGCTGCTAAATGAACCATTCAGTAGAAGTTTAAATTACTCTTTTAAGAACATAGGGAGTCTTTATAGTGAAGTCCAATGTAAAAAAATAAGCATCACGGTAGCTAAGTGAATCAACAGTCAACGAACACTTACATCCATAATGGTCAAAGTCTGATTTATCAAATCAGAACATATTTTATCGACACATGAACGTGTTTTTCGACAGGCAAGGATCACTGCTTGCAGTTCAGACCTGAATATACCTGAAAAAGGGGAAGTTCCGCTTGAAAATTTGAAATCTGAGCACGCATATAAGGTAATAAGAGAAGGTAGTTCTTACAACATGGGAGAGAGTTGATATTGAAATAACAAACAACAACTTTCTGGATTATCCATTCTTATCAACCAAGTTTTGCTACATTTTAGGAAAATAGTATAGCAAGATATTAACCACAGAAAACAACAAAATTGTCATAGTCCTGACCAAAGGATCTGGTTAAAGACCAACCAATGATCTGCAGAAGTTTTTGAGTGCTTTTGTATTTTCCTTCCCTTACCTATCGTGAATAATTGTAGGGGCTTGTTAAAGAGCAACCTATGATTCTTTAAGTAAGAAAGTACTCAAACTTCATAAGATTTCTATACTCCCTTCCATGTAAAATAAAGGAAGCAGTTATTGGTAGTTATTCTGGAATTTTTTCCTATTTTCCAGATTTAAGTTACTAACTATCTATCTCTTCTTATCCTCTTCTATATTATCTTTAAACTAAATCATACACATACTTCAATATATAAAGTACAGAATTATTATACACAACACAGTATCTTAACGTATTATTAGACACAGTAAAATATCTAAATATATAATTAAATTTCTCTTCATCCTTTGAGCATCTTCTTCCTGTGCAGACCTCAACAAAAATGTTTAGATGAAAGGAGAGTTTGTTTGAGGTGGACTAATATCTATGCCATCTTGATTTTCATAGCAATCAGAACTCACTTGATGGCAAATTTCCTAATGACATCCGAATCCTGTTCCGAGCGAATAACTTATTTTTATTTGTTGGGTCCTCAACCCAATCTTGATTGGCCCCTTGACATATCTGCAAAGAATAAAATAAATTATGATGATGATGATGATGAATCATCAATAGTAGCAACAGAACAATGAAAACTGAGAGAAGAACATTTAAATATATATCCTTATACATACCTTATACATATCTTCTTTTGAAAAATCCAGGAGTGGCCGCACTAAAAGAATACCATGAGCTTCCATATTTTTATCACAATAACAATGCCAGTGTGAAGAGAAAATTTGAGAAGTGAATGCCATGCCAGCAAGTCCAAGCACCCCACTATTGCGAGATAGCCGGAGAATGAATAACTCAGCCTGCAATGTGTCTCAGAAACCATTACATATATAGTTATGAAGCCATTCCCTCTGAGTCAATACAGATTATGAAAGGAAAAACAACTTAACGTATACTGATTCTTTTTTATTCAATTTTCATCAGACAAACACTATCCTTTTGAATTCAGTGGAACAAAATCATTTTAGCCTCCTGGTCGTAAAGTCTTTTGCTCTATTTTGACAAATGCATGTGTTTACAGTTTAATGTCTCTTTACAAGCTCACCGGCCCTGTATTGTAACATGGGCATAACATTCATTCAAGTAAACATACGCACGCACGCACACACAAATTGAGTGGGTCCAGACCTGGTCATCAGCATGATGGGCAACGAGTAAAACACCAATCTGGTGTTGATAGCAAACATTCTGAAGCATTTGATACCTGATGTTCAAGCACATTTGCTTAAAAAAAAACAGCAGAAGGAATCCTATTCAAATGACTACTAAACAAGGAACAAGAAAAAAGGGATTAAAAAACGATGACAATCCTGAGAGCTGATTAGCAAGTGAATTTGATAGACTTCAATTAGGAAATCAAATCACCTCATGTCACGAGCTGCTTCTTGCAAGTGACCCTGTTTCGGCCTACTACCCTCCCAATCACAATGCGCAATCTCACATCTGATTCCTACACAGTTTATTTTAGTCATCTAACGGTCATAACTACTTCAAGAACTTAACTTGAGAGTAAAAGATATTCATGACTCGTAATGGAAAATACCCATTTCTGATACACGACGGAGAACAAGATTTGCCTCATCTCTGCTCTCTGCACGCAAACCATGATCCACGATTACCGCCAAAAGCCCATCAATGAAACCACCCAAGTGGCCAACAGCATTTGGACCATCAGTTTTCCAATTGGCAGTCAAAACGCACAGCGCCATACTATCAGGGCCACCTGATACTGCTAATGCTGTAGATAGAACAACCAGCCACTCCAACATGAATTCATGATGCTCTCAATATTCAAAACAAACATTACAAAATGGATGGGAACTTCTATTGGCTTTTAAATTTTCTGAGAAACTCAGTACAACCATTACATTTGACTAATTAGAAAACGCGAGAAAAAAAGAAAGAGAGAAAAGTAGAAACCCCCTTTTCTAATTTTGTTTTTAGAAAAAGGAACTGTGGGAATTTTGTTAAAGCGACAACATTTCAAACAAGACCAAAAGAAAAAAAAAAAAATAGAAGTTTTGCTCTTGGCGTTATCCTCCCACAGTCTTCGTGGAAACCAAGCAGAAGTTTGCATAAGGAATAGTTGAAAAGAGACTGACCAATACGGTGATTTGGCTTGAGTCCTGCCATAGCCATTCTTATGGAGAAAGCTTCCTTGTAGTGAGACAAGTCGATAGGATATTGAGCAAGAGCGCAGTTCAAAAAGAAGCGAGGAAAACGAAGAAGATGATTATGACGGTGGGAAATATTTTGGACTAGGCATTTTAATGGTGAACGAAAAACCCTGCGTATTGAAGTCAGTAGCAAAACAGAGGTCGTTCCTCTGGTCTGTGAACATATAGTGAGCCGTGGCGCCATCAACTCCGTTGCGGATGGCACAGGAGGCTCTCTGATTTGCACCGGCGGCCACACCGCCGCTGGGAGCACAAAAACGGAAACAGATAAAGAACCAAAAACTAGTTTGGGTTTAAGCTCCCTGTACTTTATAGTTTAATGTGTCTTGAATCATCTATCTAAACTGAAAATAAATTTTAAGGTGGAAGTAGTTGAGGTTTTAATAAAATTTAGTTTAAAAATGACCTTTTACAGTGAATTTATTTTTTACATAAATTAAAAAACATAAGCAGTCCTACAAAAATTAATAATTTTTCCGTAATTATTATTTTAGTTTTTTTTTTTTTTTTTTGAAAAAACAGGTCAACTATACTTCGTCTTTGCCATGATAATAATAATCTCTCAAACCCCTGCAGGGGCTATCACGAAGTATGAATATGAGGGAGGAGTGAGGAGAAAGCAAAAGACTTCATCTCTCCCATCGATGTCGGAATTTTCCCGCCAAATCATTCAATCCTTAACTCCATCTCTGCATATGCCACCATGACCATGCCTCATCAACCCTCCTTCCCCTTTCATTTCCCTGTCTTCGTACTCATTGTCTCCCTTTCTTTCGTTTACCTCCTGCCCTCTCTTAACCCGATCAAGAGCCTATTCTTAACCCATAACCAAACCCTAACACCCATCACAACCCAACCCGAGATTAGAACCAACAGAAATAGCTACATAGTCCGGTTCAGGGAATACAGGAGCGCGGAGGATCACCGCGCATACCTTAAATCGGAGGTCAGATTGTCGGGCTGGGAATGGATCGCGAGGCAGAACCCTGCCGCGAAGTATCCGACCGATTTTGGCCTCGTGTCCATCGAGGAATCGGTGAAGGAGGGGGTGATCAGGGAGATTCGGAGTCTGGGATTTGTCAAGGATGTGAACGTGGATTCCAGGTACACGAGGGGTGTGCTCGGCGGCGCGTTTGTGGATGGAAAGAAACGACCCGGAAAGATATTCACTTCGATGTCGTTTAACGAAGAAGAACATTACGCAGCCGCTACGAGCAATTCCACAATTAATTGGGGTAGACAACTTTTAATGCAGGTAAATTTGATTGCATGATGTATAAGTATATATTTAAATTTTGTTGTTGGCTAAATTCTATACTCGAAAGTCCGAACTGAAATTCCATGTTAGGAAAAACGAGGGTGTTCGAAAGTAACAAAATCATTGAACTTGGATTAACTGTATCAAGAAGTTTTTTTTTTCTTTTTCCTGAACGAAGGGTCACAACGTTGAGAGTATTTTCGTTATTAGGGTTGTGCTTTTCTTTTTATACGTAACTATTTCCATCTTGCAGAAAACTCAAGTTACATCCTTGTTTGGAGCAGATGTTTTGTGGGCTAAAGGGTATACTGGTGCTAAGGTCAAAATGGCCATATTTGATACCGGAATACGTGCTGATCACCCACATTTCCGTAATATCAAGGTATAGGTTGAGGGAACAAACCCTTTCCACTCAGTACCTTCAAATTGGTATTGTTGAAAGATTGGCCGAGTTAAATTACCTTCTTTAAATTACATTGCTCAAATGATTTTCAGGAGCGTACAAATTGGACCAATGAGGACACTTTGAATGACAACCTTGGACATGGTACGTTTGTTGCTGGTGTCATCGCTGGTGAAGATGCAGAATGTCTTGGATTTGCCCCAGATACTGAAATTTATGCCTTCCGCGTATTTACAGATGCCCAGGTAATGCATTAGTACCTTGAATATTGATTACATTATAATGCAACCTGTTTTCATCCCAATGTAGTTCAGATTTTGATTTTGATCAAAATTTTCTTCTATTTGTAAGTTCTCATTAAATTTCTACTTCTTTCTCAATTTAAACAAGCTAATCACGAGCTAGAGAATCTAGGTCTAATTTCTGAATTTTATTACTAAAAGAATATCATAGTTGTTACAAGAGCAATTAAGGAATCTGAGTGGGCAATATTTGACGTTTGCTATTTTGCTGTGGTATATTCATTGAAAACTTCCTCCAAAGTTGTTTATAAAATCTCATTATTATCTGATTTATTCTATGAAATTTGGCAAGATTATGAGAAGTTTTTATTCAGCTTATTGCAGGTATCTTACACATCATGGTTTCTTGATGCATTTAACTATGCCATCGCAACAAATATGGATGTGCTGAATTTGAGCATTGGGGGGCCTGATTACTTGGATCTCCCATTCGTAGAGAAGGTAGGAATCTTTGATCCACTTTTTTTGGTGACAACATGATACAAATTTGTATAAAATTTATTTTTTACTTTTGAAAATTTGAGTTTATTAATGTGATATTTTAGTTGTGATTGAGCTAGACTACATGTCTGTGGTATTCAATTTTAGGTGGCATGAAATTTGCAATATTTTTATTGTTTTGGCAGTTTAAAATCCTTAGATGTTGACATCAATGCTATTGGCAAGCTTTTTGGATATGCATTTACTTGCACCCATTAACCTTCTAAATTTTTTGCTCAAACATCACTGTTTTATTCTGTTTGTAAAGCTCAATGAAAAAAGCCTTTTCTTTCAACACTTGTATTGTAAGCAAGATTGCATATCTCACCTTTAGTTTTTGTAAGATTCTTTTTCTCTTATTTGGAAGGTCATTTTTCAAGGTTTAACAGTAGTTGTCTTGGGTCATGGCTGGTTCTGTTTTGAACTAAATCATTGCCTGGAAGGGTATAGTCAGGAGGAAAAACAATTCAGACTTATCTCCCTTACCATTTTCTGGGTTATTTGGAAAGAAAGGAACAACAGAGCTCTTGCAGGGATAGAGGTTGATTTTGACACCATCAAAGACAGATGGTTCCACTATTTTGGTTCTCTTATTTTGTGGCATAACCTTGGTAGCTTAGATGATTTTGGCTCCATTGTAGATATCTTAATTGATCTGTAGGTTTTGTACATGGGCGGCGCCCCCTTGGCGCTACCATATCAATACATCTGATACTTTTATCTCAAAAAAAAAAAGGTTTAACAGTAGTTGAATCTGCCATGTCTTGCTTGCTGCATGCTAGTGCATAACTGTTGGGTGTTTAAGTTACTGAAGCTGCAATATTCTTCTTGGTAACTCCAGGCTGCTTAACTGTTTACTAGGTTTGGGAAATAACTGCAAACAATATTATCATGGTCTCAGCAATTGGA